TAAATATACATATCTTGGCTTTTTTAGATGGATTTTTAATTGTAAATTTTATTATTTTTGTTTACTTTTATTTTAATTTAAATTCTATTTTGTTTTTTTCAATAACATACACATCACTATTAGACAACTTTAGATTCTCTTTTAATTTTATATCTCCTTAAAAAATTATATTTTAATCAGTATTATTTTTAATTTTAATTAAATATCTATAATATTTATCCCATCCTTCTTTTATGTATCCTTTTTTATTGTACTAAACACATTATAATTTTTAAAAGAAATAATTCAAATATAGCTTATCTATATTTTTTCCTTAATCTTTATTTAGTTTTTAAAAATTTAATTGAAATTTAGATAAAGAACTAAAAACAATATTAACATTTTTTTCATTTTCTTAATTTAAAATACCTTTAATTTTAATAACATATCTTTAAATATATCAAAAAATAATATTAATAAAAAATTTAAACCAAAAAAAAAAATTAAAAATATTAAAATTTTATTCTTTTACTATCCTTCCTATAATTTTAAAAAAGGATTTTTTTTGTTCATATGTATTGTCCTTTCTGCTCTCCAACAATCCTAACTATTATAAGAAATTTATTTAACAAATTAATCTGAGCATATTTAAAATAATCTGAATTCGTATCTACGTTAATTATTTTCATTTTAATTTAATCTCAAACACACAAATTATTTTTTTCTATAAAAAATTACAAATACTATGATTTTCTATTTACCAAAAGCAAATCCAAATATTAATATTAATACTTTTTTTTAATAAACTAAACACATAAATATTCAAAATTTTGATAAAAATCTTTAACATTTACCCAAAAAATTTTCTCTTCCCATGGATTTTTTAATAAAAAATTATTTTAATCAATATCCAATAAAGAATAAGCATGATTTTTTACAAATTATTCTTTTACATTTTTAAAAGTGCTTGTAATAACGATACATTATTTATTTAGCCACATTCTAATTATTTCTAATAATTCTTTTTCTGAAAAATTTTATATCCAATATCCTTTCGCAGGAAACAAAAGTAAGCTTTCCATAGCAGTTTCTATATATAAGTTTTCTGTTTTAAAATAACTCCCTTATATTTTCGCCCAAGCCTTTTCTAAAATACTAGCCCAAACGCAATTTTAATTTACTTATGCAAACAAAGGCTTTTTATTTAAATTGCAAGGTAAAAAATCATCAACTATAATTAATGTAGGTATTCCTTTAATATAAAATTATATTTGATAAAATCCAACTTCGGTATTATAATTAACAAATAAGCCTTTTATTTATTCTGGGTATTTACTTAAACTTTACAAAACAGATAAAAAATAGCATGTTTTAGATTGTCCCTTTTTAAAATAAAAAATATTTATTTTAATTTTAATTTATATTTAACTTAAATAATGTTTTTGCATTCTAAATTTTTAAATAAAAATATTTGATTTACATTTAATATTTATTATGGTCGAAGCCATATTATTTCTTTTTAATTTAATTGCTAATTATAAACCATTTATTCATCAAATATATTTTCTTTTATTTAAAAAAACTACTAATCAACAAATTCTTAAAATTCATTTAATTCTAATATTTATTATCTTTTATATTGTATTTCTTTAATGTTAATTTCATTAATAACTGAAAAATTAAAAGGCAATTTTTTAACGATTGATTTATTATTAGAAGGGTTTATTAAATAAATTAAACACTTTTCAGAATTATAATGTTTACCTAATTATTTTAATTTATCATAAATATTATAAAATGAAAATCCTCCTAATTCACTCAAAAAAAGCAAGCATTTAATTGAATCATATAAAAAACATATTTCTATTATTGAATTTTACTAAAAATCCTCACAGTATAAATTATCTAAGAATTCTTTTTAATCATTAAAATTATATTAATGTAGCCTTTTTACTAAATATTTCAATATATCTATTTAATCATATTTACATATTATATGAAACGAATTTTAGTATTTTTATAAATCTATAATGTCTAATATTTTTATTCTATTGTTTTCTACAAAGCTTATAAAATCTGCCATTTTTCCATTTTTAATAGAATTAATTATTTCTGAATCTATTTATTCATTTATTTGATAATTAATATTGCTTATTCTTTTCTTTTATTTAATTAATGGTAATTATAACTAATTATAATTATAATGTTAAATTTATTAATCTTAATCTTATAAAACTAAAATATTATTCATACGAAAATAATTTATATTTATTAAATATATTTTTATAAATAAAATTTTATAATTATTTTTATCAAAAAAATTAAATTTATTTTTAATTCATCTCTTTTAACTGTAAAAAAAAAAAAAAAAGATAAATATATATAGAAAACAGTGTAATTTTGTTTATATATAATCATGTTTCAAATTAATTATAAATTATGTAAAGTATTAAATGAATTATAAATTCTGAAAAGTGTTATAATATTAATTTTCGCAGCATTTATAAATATTCCATACTGTTTTTTATAATATCAAATTAACATTATATATTTAAAAAAATTTATCTAATTTTTGTATATCGAATATATTTAAAATATTTATATAAATAAAATTATAGTTTTAACTTTCTTTCTAAAATAAATAAAATAGGGAAAAAAACAATAAAAAATCAAATATATATAAAATTTAAAACATAAAAATGAAAAATATAATCTAATAATTGGATATTTTTTCTGTAAATTTCCTATTTTATATATCACCAAAAGATAATAAATAAAAATCTATTTTCGGAAGTCTTATCTCTATAATTGTAATAATGCTTTCAATCTCTTATTTGCTTTATTTGCTTATAATGTATTTTACTAATTAATTCTCTCCAAAAGTAAACCAACAAAAGTATATAGAGAAAAATTATATTAGCTACAAACCTAACTAAGATTTTATTGCATTTTCTTTTATTGCTAATGGAATAACAATAGAATAATATTAAAAATAATAAAATAAAAAATATTTTAACTATAAAGTTAATTATATTTATTTTAATGAAAAAAGAAATTTAAAAATTTTAAACTCAGGTATAGTTTTATGTGAAGATCCATTATTCTAGGATTTCTATTGTATAGATATTTCAAAAATAAATAAAGATTTATTTATGGATCCTATAAATTTAATTACTTCTTAATTTATATTAGAAATTTAATTTTAGAATCAAGATGTTTCTGGATATGCAACTGTTTAAGAAGCTTATGATTTAATATTATAAGTTCAAAACTATTTCGTCTTATATATAAAAACGGAATAATATAATAATAAATTGAAATAATTCTAAAACAATTATTAGTTAGAATATTATTAAGTTGATCCTGAATATGTAAATATAAGCTAAATAAAACTATAAAAAGGAATAAATATTATTTAAGAAGGGTTAATTTTTTAATAAACTAAAATAGAAGAAAAAGTTACGAATTATAGAAAAAGCAATGGATTTTTTACATTTTAAAATTATGTTAATATACACTAATCACATGCAATTTTAAAGATATCTTTTGAAATAGACTAATTATATGAAGAAATAAATATTTAATACCCTTAAATAACGGAAATTATTGCATAATTTATGGGAGTTTTTAATATTTTATTAATTTTAGGTATTCTTGGTAAAAAAGCGGCATAGTAATAAATAATATAAAGCATTAAAAATATATTTTTATAAGAATATTTTTAAAAGTCTAAATAATTATTATAAAAAGAATAACAAAAAGTAAAATAAAATAATAATTTATATTAAAATACTTAACAAACAAACAAAAAAAGGAAAATACCATTGGATTTCTTAATAAAATAAAAAAAGCTTTGACTAAAGAAATATAAAGTGAAGAAGAAATAATACAATAATAATTAAAGGATTTTTCTATTAAAAAAATGTAGTTAATTGAAATATATAAAGACATTATATATATGAAAAAAGCAATAAAACTTATTTTAACAAAATAATAGTATGCAGCTATTAGGTATTGCTCCTCCACTTTTTAAGTCATTTAAAAAAATAAAAAAAATAAAGTCTAAAAATAATAAATTTAAAATTTAAAATTTGAATAAAATATAATGCCTACTACCTAATAATAAAAAAACCATTTAGAAGCATTGGATATGATTGAAATAGATGAATAATTATAATAACAGTATTTGATGGAATTTTTGCAAGGACTTAAAGGAGAATAATAGTAAAGCTAATTAGATATTAATATTAAAGATTGTATATTTATTTGTAATAAAGAAGAAGTTTAAAAATAAAATTAAATTTTTAAAGAATATGATTAACATAAAAGCGAGAATTAAAAAAAATTGATTTTTAAAATTCTAATGAATAAATGAATATTATTGATAATAATTTATAAAAAAATAAAAAACCATCTATCTATTAAAATTAATACTGAGAACAAAATTATTAATATAAAATAAAAAAATTATATTATTAAAAATATAAATTTAAGTATTAAAAATAAGATTTTAATATAATTGTATTATTAATTGCAAATGATATTTTATAAAATTTAATAATATTTATAATAAATTCATTATAAAATATAAAAAATGAAAAGCAAATTTTATATAAGTAAATAATAGCAAAAAAAAAACAATAAATAAGAAAAATTTTATATGCTTATTTGCTCTTATTTTTATTTTTTCGATAAATTCAATCTATAAAAAATAGGACATTATTCGTTTTTTTCCCGCTTTTTTTTTTCTTGATTAATTTTTTTTTAAAAAATTATAGATAAAAACATATAAATAACATTTAATGAATTTATAAAAATTATATTTTAATTTATTATAAAGAATATCCTGTTTATATAAAAAATTATATAAATTTATATATTTTAATATAAAAAAATAAAATTAGTTTTTATTATTATCTTATAAATAAATAATTATTTATTCAAGATTTTGTTTTTTTTTTAATTTTACTTTATTTTTTTAATTTATTATTTTAACATTTTATATTTTATTATAAATTGTTTCAATGTAAATGCAATGCCTCTTAAATATAGTTCAAAAATATAAAATTTATATTTTTTAGAACTTTAAAATATTACAATGAAAAATACTATTAATAAGTAAGTTAGAAAAAAAAAAAATTATAGAAATAAAACATTATAAAATATATAAAAGATCTTCCATAAATAAAATGCAATAAATATAAAATATTATATTATAAGGGAGTCATTTTTTTAATATTTTATTATAAAAATTTATCTTATTTGTATAAATGGTATTCTTTTATCTAAATCGTTAGAATATTTTTACTCTTCATTCAACAATATAAATTTACTATAAAATTCAATTTAAATTTTATTTAAAACTCAATAATTATTTTCCGAATAAATATAATTCATTAATAGTTTCGCAATTTTAAATTAATTTTTACTTATTTTAATTAATAGATAAATTATTGATTTTTCTAAAAGTTTTTGGATTAATTTTTTGTTAAGTTTAAAAAAAATATTAATGTGAAGTTGAAATAGGAATTTTTTACAAAAAAAAAAAAATATCATAAAGAATGTTTTATATAATAAATATACATTTTTTTTTTAATAATATAATGTAAATTATTATATATATTATAAAATTAAGATATTCTTAGAAAATCTATTACAAAAATATCATAATTTTATAATAAAATAATAAAAATAAATAAATATAATAAAATTTTTTATTAAATAATATAAAATAAACATTATATTTTCTTTAAAAATAAATAAAAACTATTATATTTAATAATAATATTAATAGATTAAAATTAATATAATAATTCTTTTAAGACATATGATTTATTAAATTGATAATGACTATAATATATTCTTTATATATTTAATAATAAAGATTAACATTTAACATAAAACTAAAAATTAATAATATTTATTGCTTATTAGAAAGTATAATTTACTTTATTACAAATTTTTATTATTTACTCAATTAATTTTTTAGATGATTGGTTAAATTAAAAATAAAAATATTTTACTATATTAGAGGAGGAAAAATTCTTATATTTAAAATAGTTATTTGAATTTTTAATTAAACTATATAGACATATATTATTAATTTAGTTATAAATGTCTTTAATAAAATAGTTATATAAGAATTTTTCAATTAATATTTTCTTAATTAGTAATAAATATTCATAATCTATTTTTAAAATTATGCTACTTTCATAAACTAATATAATCGTATACTTTTATTTTAAATATGTTTAAATTTTAATTGTGAAAAGAAACCTTATATATGTTTTATTATACTTTTCTTTTTACTAAAATTAATATTTTATTATACTCCTTCCCTATTCTTATATTTTTCTTCTTCTAATAATTGTTATTATTTAATTAATTAATATCTCTATTTAGTTTAATTTTATATTCTAAATAAATAATCTTATATTAGAAATTCAAATTATAATCAATTTTTTAATAGGAGGAAGTGTAGAGATATTCAATTAAGGAGATTTGCCATTTTCAAATAAATTTTTTCTATATATTTATTAAAAAAAATACCTTATTTTGTCTTTCTATATATATGATTTGTATTTTAATAATTTAAATATATATTTTAATATTTTTTATTAATATTTTTATACATAATTTTATTTCTATCATTTACTTAATTTTAACAATTTTAACTAAATAAATGTTATCATTTATTTATATATTAAAATGTTATAATTCATTAAAACAAAATATTATGAAATCTCATCTATATATAATTTGAATTATAATTAAGAATTTTTATTTAATATGTTTATAAATTTATTTATTTTTACTTTTATATAAATTATGATTACAATTTTTTTATTTTTTTAATAGTTTTTTCCATATTTTTATATATCTTTATTTCTTATTTTTATAAAATTGAAAAATATTATTTAAATAATGTTACTAATAACTCTCTTTTATACATTCAATAAAAATATCACTTGAATTTTACCAATTAATTTAAATAATTTTAAATTCTTAATTTTATTTAATATTTATTACTATACTTTGTCTTCATTAATCAAGCTTTAAGTGTAATCATTAAATATATATAAAAAAAAATATTTATTTATTTTAAAACTTATAAAATATAAATATTCAATAACAAGTAATTATTAAAAACCATATTTTTAATTAATTAATAATATAATTTAAAATACATTCTTTTTATTAATTTTTTAAAAATAAGGAAGTATAATATAAATAATAATACATCCCTACTAGATACAACATTTTTTATATTAATAATAACTGTATAAAAAAATAAACATTTAATTATTTTAATACTTGTTGATATTGTTTTTTTATATTTTTTATAAAAGGTAGGTCATCAATAATTTTCATATTTTTAATATAATTTTATATTTTATATATTTTTAATTATAAAATATTATTTATAAATATATGAAAAAAAAGTTTTAAATTAAATAAAAAACTTTAATTTCAAAAGATAAAATAAAAAAAGCCATTTTTAATTTTTTTAGAATAACTAATTTAATAAAATAAAGAAAATATTCAAAATTAATTAACAAAATATATAAATATATATATATATATATATAAATATATATATATATATTTATATTTATATAATCTTTTTTTTACTTATCAATATTAATATAATTAAAATAAAAGAAAATCATTTAAGTATAATAATATAATTTATATATAAAATTTATTTTTCATAATCTAAATTCATTATCAGCTGCTTCTTTAGTTTCTTCAATAAAAATTTTAAAAATATCAGATTTTAAAACCTACTTATTTTTACAAATTTTATTTAGAAAATTTTATAGCTTTTATTATCTTTCCAAAATAATGTCTTCGTCTAAATTACCGAACCATTTCTTACTTGGAAAAGAAGGCAATATTAATTTTTAGAATTTTAAATTTTTATAAAAGTCAAAAAGCATTGAATACCTAGTAGAAAATATCCAACTTTATTTTTATATAATTTAATTTTAAATAACCTAACTTAAGATGACCTATACTTAATAAATTACAATATTTTTCTCTTTACCATTTCCCTTTAACTCATTCTCTGAAACAATTTCATAATTTAAAAATATAAATTCAATTATTTCTTATTTTTTCGTTTGTAATTATGTACTCATATCTTGATTCGAAATTCTACTAGTTGTATTTAGTTTTCTTTCTAGAAAGTTAATGAAACTAATATTTTCAGATTTACATTATTATTGATTTTTTAATTATTAACTTAAATTGAAAGATTCTTCGTCTGTGGAACATTAAGATAAGAATGTTATTTTTAGGTTTTTTAGTTGGAAATCTAAAACTCTAAATTAGAGTTAGATATTAGTTGATTATCCATTGCGAAAAAATGAATTTTAGTTTACAGTGATCTGTATATTATATTTTAAGGGTATTTTAATTCAATTTAACTAACTTTTTTTAAATTTAATTTAAAATAAAGTTTAATTTTCTGTTTGGGATTTTCTAAAAAAAAAAGATGTACTTTTTTTTTAATAAAGTTTTTATAAAATAAATAAAATTTATATATATATATATTTAAATTACTATTTTTTAGAAAAAGAATAAATTAATTTCATTTTAATATTTGGTTAATAATTTTAATTATAATTTTATATTAAATAAAAAAAAAAAAAAAAAAAAATCATAAAAATTAAAAAAATATTAAATTAAATTTAAAATAATAATAATAAATAAATAAAAATT